AAAAAAAAAAAAAAAAAAAAAAAAAAAAAAAAAAAGGAAGCCTTGTGGAATATTGGGGCTTAGCATTAGTGAAGGCCTTTGATATATACTTTTGGGAATTGTTGGTGTATAGACCAAGGATGTGTCAAGCAGGCTTAAAAAATTTCACTGACAATAGTACTACAAGAATTTATATCAGAAGAAACCCAAGAGTGCTGTTAATTCAAAAACTTCATTGTATAAATAAAACTTTAACTGATTTTTAAAGGAGGGAGAAGTTGCAGACAGATGTAGAGAACGAAAGAATGCAATCTGGGTGTATGAATCATAATAAATCCAGAGTCATGAGGAAAGAGTTAATAAGAACAGACTAAATGGGATAGTGTGATGACTGTGAATACTGCTGACCACGCTTTATAGAAAGTACCAGGCAAAATAAATATGGATGTAATTATAATCTAATCATTTTTTTTTTTCTGGTTCTAGAGGAAGGGCTGTCCATTTCTCCTGTTGTCTGTTAACTCCATTTGGGCAAAGATTATTTTTATCATCTTAGCAAAAATCTGGGAGAAGTACATGTTTAATAATTATGTGTTGAAGGAAAGAAGAAAGGAAGGAAGAATATAAGCTTTTTTTTGTTTGTTTGTTTGGACTAACAATCTTTTAAAAGCTATTAAAAGCACATAAGTGCTAAATACATTGAAGAAAAACAAATGAAGAAATGGTGCACAGTGAAGGGATTTCTGCAATACCGACTGAGAAAGCATTTGTCTTGCAGGATTTATACTTGGATGTGCTTGTAATATAAATCTATTCCATTAGCATTAGAGCCAGAATTCTTAATAGAATGATATGGAACATTAAAACAATTATCCATTTTCCATTATCTGATACTTCAGTCTACTCCAGTCACATACCAGTAAAATGTTTTGTATTACTAATCTGGGTATTACTAAAGATTACTGAAGATCGTTGCAACATTTTCAAAACCTTTAGAAGTTTTATTTTCCTTAACAGAAGGTTCTAAATACATCCACCAGTAAGACTTTTTGAAGAAGGAAATGAAGAAAATATAGACTAAACTATAAAATTAATAAACCGTATAAGTAAATTCTACAAATCAAACTATATACTATATTCAACGACATAAACTAAATGAATAAAGTAGAATAAAAACAGATCATATAATTAGTTATCAATAGTCTTTAAATTCATCAGCATTTCTTATAACTAAATTGAATTCAAGTTTTCTGTTAATTGTTTCTCCAAATATATATAGATATTTGCAATGGGGGTAGGGGAGTGAGTTTGAAGTAAGGA